TCTACACACGTGAAAATAACATTTTGTCTTCACACGAAAAAATAACACCGTTACTATGGTTACATTATAAATCGTGTCTTTCATAGGGAAAGTGAATTGATTTAGTTTTTCAACCGTGTTTGTATATCAAATAGAATATTACATGGCCGCTTGGAGATACGAAATTTCTTGTGTTGAAATATTATTCGCTTTGTTCACTCGTGAAATATTTTATAACACTCGAAGATAGTGTTATAAAATGGATAGTGCGCTGGACTGTTGTGCGGGAGGTCGAGGGTTCGAGTCACGGCCGGACCAACACTCAAGGTCTTAAAATAATAGTGAGAAGAATTTGCTACCTTCCTATAACATCAAGAAATGGTTAGATATTCTAGTCTTCTCGGATAGGGACGAATAAATGGAGGTCCCGTCTCCTGCAGGGTTGGGGGTACGAGACGTTAATTTCCCATGCACGAGATTACTGTTTGATGGATGTCCTCCCCTGGGGTGGGATGGGTGGGTGTGACAGGGCCCCATTTAAACCAGCTATTAGCTGAACTGGCTACCCTATATAAATATTCGTAAAAATACCAAAAAAAAAAATTCACCTCATATAACTTCAATTCAGCTTAATATATTACTTCAAATAAGCTACATCTTCTGACAGCTAACAAAGTTAACCTGACGAAGGAAGGTGATAGCACGCATTAATTACGAATGCAGAAATGTTTCAAAGTAAATTTCCATATGCCATCTTTGACAGCTAAATTGAGAAATTTCTGAAGTTTTTTCTTTGACGGTAAAAAAGGTTTTAATGCTAAATTGAGATGGAGGAAACTTCAAAATGAATGTTTTAAGAATTATCTGTGACATATCAGTTTAAGGTGGTCTGTCTTAAAATCATTGGGGTTTTCTCTGATGAGAGATAAAAGGCTGCGGTAAAATGCAAATACAAGACCATTCGGCTGAGGAAATGAAGTGAGAAACTGAGGAGAGGCCGGGAATATCTTGAAGCTCAAACTAGGCAAAATATTTTTACTCCTTATAAACGAATCCAGATGGCTGATGTTTTGTGAAGCTTAATAAAGCGAACTTTCGCGTTTATTTGGTTCGCAAACTTTTCTTTGCAATTTCCGTGCGTTTCTCTCAACGTTTGCATAAGGATTCAATGCTACTCACTGTTTAAAATGTTTGACAAATACGGGTGTAGCATAGCTGTCTCACCATGACCCTCTCTGAAGTGTCTGTTGAAGGTGTAACGCACGTACTTGAATGTCAGGTACTCTAAATAGTTGTAAATAATTGCAATTAGGTATGCTAATGTAGACTATAATGAAGACTTGTGCGTTAGTTTGAATTGTAATATATTTTGTGTGAACAATAAAAGTTTTTGTTGGATA